GGCCTAGTGGGCCTCGTGAATGTCTCGTCGTCTTTCGTTATGGTCTTTTTTACATAGTTTGTTTTTAATCAAAGGGTATCCCGATATTTTAGTTTCTCCATATCTTTCGCATTTTGAAATTAGTCACCCCCACAATCTTAGTATTTTGAAATTAGTTCTCTTACTCTTTAAGTGTTTTCAAATTGCTTCCCCCATATCTTCATATTTTGAAATTAGTCTCCCAAATCTATTAAATATTTTGAGAATAGTCCTCCAAGAATCTTAGCCTAGTGGTGTTGATGAACGATATCAAACAGTCGAGTAATCTAGAAGAGGACGATTGTAGGGTGATGAAGGATGATGGAGCGCCCGCTCCCTTCTTTGACTTTATGTCTGGTTCTTGAACGAGGGCTTCACGCTGCACAAACAAGAAGAAACCGTGAGAGGGCGGGGATCGGTTCCCCCGTGGTTCCTTCGACGGTCAAGTTAGTGAAACTTGAGAGGGGAAGGGGAAGGTCATGAACCGATATGGTTCTTAAGGTAGCAATGTGCATGCCTAGAGGATCTACGTGAGCTACTCTGTGTTTGATGAAGAAGTGCGTGAGTTCTTTTTTCATGGAAGGAGTTTAGAGGAGTTTTTTCTTTCTTTGTCTCGAGAGTTCTCTCTCTCTCTCTTCCTATGAGTTAGGGTTACCTCTATATGAAGTGGCGAGTGGAGCTGATAACAAGATTGCCCCTTGCTTGACAGATGTTGACTGGCGACTGGAGATGAAGTCACTTCAGCTCTGGAGAGGATGTCTCCGCATTTTCCGGGAAGTGATTAATAGCATGGTAGAAGGCACGTGGGCATACTGAATCGTCCATCGCTTTACAGATGACAACTGGCGACTGGAGGGGAAGTCACTTCGGTATGGGAGATGATGTCTCTGTAATATCCGGGAAGTGATTTAGCTAATAAGTCATGGAGACTTATCAGGCCAAAATCTGGATAAGGCTTGTTCGAGGTGGACTGAGATGTCGATATATGCTCTAGAGGAGAGGCTTGAGACCGGGGTCGAGTCTTCAATTTAGTCGACAGTAGGGAATGCCCCTTAAGTCGTTTCTGAGAAATTCCCAGTGAGTAGTCGAGTGCCCTAAGTAGGGTCGTCCTCGATGATATGGTCGACCGACACCGTCTTTCGCATCGACTCAGGAGTGTCAGCATGTTCGACTGGTTGGAATATCGTCTTGTCTTAGCTAATAACTGTCTCTCGAGTCGATATAAAGATGTCGACTCTTCATGAAGGTCAGGATCTCTCATGCCGACTAGTATTGCCTCTGGTGTCGACACCAGAGTGTCGGTTGGATGAGTCGGTGGGGCCGAGGCCTCTATAATTGTGCCTTAGGTTTATCTCTGATAAGGTACCAAGGTCTTGTAATTAGCTATGATGGTCGAATTGCACTGGAGGATTTGACCATATGTTATGTATTGGGCTTACCTTGATAAAGAGCTAAGGATTTGAAATTCGACTGAGGAGTCGAATGCCTAGAAATCTTGAGAGTTGATTAGGGCTCTCCTTCCCCTAAGGCCGAGAGACGACTGTGGGAGTCGGCCAAAGGGTTGGGCCTTGGGTTTATTCCTAATGAGGTACCAAGGGCTTGTTTTGCTAAGACTCTTATCGTATCATTTTGCTAATATCCGTCTCTTGGGTGAGTGAACACCATAATAGTTGGCCCCATTCACTTGGAGCCGGCTTTTAGTCGACTCTGAGGGAAATAAGATATGCTCTGATCAATACAATCATGCTGAAGACGAGAAACTAAGAAGTCTTTATCTTAGAGACGTGGCTTGTCATTATTGGCCACCATTGTTATCTCCACTATTCATGGCTGACATTATCAAAGATTTGAACCATGTTTTTGGGAGACGAAGTGTCATGGATATAAGGGAGGATCTTTCATGTTTCGAGTATTGGGACGTGAGGAATTAAATGAGGGTGGCGCTTCGTGTTTTGAGTGAATCATGTTTTGGTGGAAGTTGGTTCTTTCATTAACAGACTCATTATAACTTTAGTTGTTACAATAATCTCAACAAATAAAAATAAAAATTACAACTTTCTTAAAACACACATAACAGACGTTTATCACCCACTGTTTGCGTAGGATCTTGGCTTGTGCTGGGGTTTATCCGTGGACCATCGATTGATCAGATCCAATATAGATTTCATTGTCTCGCAAAGGAGATAAGAAACTAAAGTAACTATCTCGGCAAAGCGAGATAATCACTCTTCTCGAGAATCGCAGCTAGGTACGATCTCAAGGAAATAAATGAACGGATGCAGATCTCTCGAACTCTTCCTTTTTATGCTGAATAGCTCACCGACGCTTGATCAAGTCTCCTGTCTCTCGAGAAAATGAGGAGGGACTTTGAAGAGCTGCAATCAAAGCTTCAGGCATCCATAACCCTTGTTGAGAAATTAGAGGACCAACTCGCTCATCTGGATTCGGAGCAGCATAAAAAAAAAGGTGGTCGACGACTGGCATCATAGCTCTATAGGGAAGCCCGAAGTAGCCTTATCATGTAAAGCTGAGGTTGATTACTTCGCCTCCTTGGTGCCTCGTGACTCTCATCCTATTCCAGATCACTTTTATCCCTTCCGCGTCTCCTGTTGTCTTGACTTGTTGAAGGATGTCGAGAAAATTAGAGGCAGGTTGGATTTATTAGCGAATGACGATGAGGTCGAGCCTGTTGTTGGGCCCCCTGGGGAATCTTCTACAATTGCTGCCACCAGGAGTCCGCCAAGTCCGACTCCCAAGTCTGGTCGAGAGCTTTAATGACCTGCATGTCTATCTTTTTTTTGTAGAGAAGTTTGTAAGGAAGTTTACTCTTTTTGAATAAAAATTAACTTTTGTCTCCATTCTTGAGCTTGCCTTCATTGGTTATTTTTTTTAGCTTTGTAGCTTCGTTCTCATCTGAGATGTTGGCTGAAGTGAGTTAATTGTAATGTGTCGACCCGTGCTGGGGACTTATGATAACTAGTTCACTTGATGCTCTATTTTGGTTGAGCGTTCAATTGACCAGAATTTAACAGATGACTGCTTAAGTTTTTAGGTCGATTAAGTATTTTCCCTATACTTAATACTCATACCTTAGGCTTATGAATACCTTGTTGGCAGAATAGCAACCCCAAGGTTGAGGGCCTAAGTCTTACGGAGGTGCCGAGGTCTTCATAATCCCTATATGGTCGAATAGTGACTATGGGAATCGACCATAGGGTTGTGCCTTGAGCTTACCTTGATAAAAAGCCAAGAGCTTGTTATCCGACTGAGGAGTCGTTGTGCCTCGGATTTACCCTGAAGAGGTGTCAAGGGCTTGAAATTCGACTGAGGAGTCAAATACCCAGAACTCTTGAGAGTTGACTAGGGCTTTCCTTCCCCTATGGCCGAGAGAAAATTATGGGAGTCGTCCAAAGGGTTATGCCTTGGGTTTATTCCTGATGAGGTACCAAGGGCTTGTCCATGATGATCAATGAGAGCCAGAGGAATCGGTCATATGTTGCGCCTTGGACTTACCTTGATGAAGAGCCAAGAGCTTGCTATCCGACTGAAGAGTCGTTGTGCTTTGGATTTATTCATGATGAGGTACCAAGGGCTTATCAATAATGATCGATGAGAGCTGGAGGAATCGACCATATGTTGTGCCTTAGGCTTACCTTAATGAAGAGCCAATGGCTTGCTATCCAACTGAAGAGTCGTTGTGCCTTGGATTTACCCTGAAGAGGTGCCAAGGGCTTAAAATTCGACTGAGGAGTTGAATGCCTAGAACTCTTGAGAGTGACTAGGGCTTTCCTTCCCCTATGGCCGAGAGAAAACTATAGAAGTCGGCCAAAGGGTTGTGCCTTGGGTTTATTCCTGATGAGGTATCAAGGGCTTGTCCATGATGATCGATGAGAGCTAGAGGAATCGACCATATGTTGGGCCTTGGGCTTACCTTGATGAAGAGCTAAGGGCTTGCTATCCGACTGAAGAATCATTGTGCCTTGGATTTACCCTGAAGATGTGCCAAGGGCTTAAAATTCGACTGAGGAGTCGAATGCCCAGAACTCTTGATTGTTGACTAGGGCTCTCCTTCCTCTATGGCTTGTAGGCTGTCTAAAAATAATAATAGATAGTTGATTTCCCATCAAACACTGATGATGGAAGTTATAGTCTGACGACTTCCAGAAGGCTACAATTTGAAGACTTTCACGTGGACCGATGAAGGTTATACTCTGACGACCTTCACAACAACTGATGAAAGCTCCAATCAACGACCTTCACAATCAACATCGGGAGTTGCAATCTGACGACTCTCATATATCAAAGAGCTAAAGCAAAGATTACAAAACGACAATCTTTGCAACGCTCTAACAGAAAGAGACTACAAATCAATGGTCTCTTCAAACCAAGACGTGGAAGTCCTCCCTGCGTACCATCATCAAGACGCAATACCAATTCGATTGCGAACACAGCTTCATCCGCTGCAAACGCAAACGCAGCCTCATATATGAGATGATTGATCTTGATGGCTGCGACAATACCATGACTAATATTATATTAGCAACTATTAGAGGTGCTGATAAGCAGTGTAATGATTTTAGAAAAGCGAGAAGATCTCGAACCTACAGTTGATAGAGCGTTATTAGGATGCCTCAATTATCACAAATGACCTGAATAAGGCCTTCTTGACTGGTCATTGGTGTCATCCATATATAAAGACAGAGAGGGCAAACAGCTCTTCAGCCACTGCAAACGCAGCTCTTCAGCCGCTGCAAACGCAGCTCTTCAGCCGCTGCAAACGCAGCTCTTCAGCCGCTGCATC